GCCACTGCACTCCAGTCTGGGCGATAGAGTGAGACTCCAACTCAAAAAAAAAAAAATAGCTCCTATCCTGTGACCTGCATTATCTAGCAAAAAGTAGATGGAAAGATCATCCCAAGCAGAAGGGAAAACCCTAGGTTTTATGAAGAATTGAAATAAGTTTGTTAGGGCTAGCACATAGGCCGAGAAAGAGGCAGTAGGAAAAAAATGAAACTGGGGGGCAAGCAAGTGCAGGATCCGTGAATCATGAGAAAGAGTCTGAGATATTCCCTAAAGACAAAGCCAATTAATGATTTTAAGCAGGAAAGTGAAATGATCAGGTTTTTATTTTAGAAACATTGGCTTGACAGTGCTGTGAATTTGAACTTGGGGCGCAGGGGTGGGGGGTGAGAGATAGTGGGAGGGGTTGTAGTGGCACAAGGCTAGAGACCAGGAAGCTAGTGAAGAGACTGATGCAGTGCCCAAAACAGAGGGAGTGGCAACTTGAATAATGGTCAAGTGGGAAGAGGGAAACAGCATAGCTGGGCGTGGTAGCTCAAGCCTGTAATCCCAACACTTTGGGAGGCTGAGGCAAGAGGATTTTCTGAGCTCAGGGGTTCGAGACCAGCCTGGGCAACTTAGTGAGACCCCCATCTCTATACTAAATCAAAAAGCTAGCCGGGTATGGTGGTATGCACCTGTAGTTCCAGCTACTTGGAAGGCTGAGGCAGAAGAATTGCCTTAGCCCAGCAGGTTAAGACTGTGGTGGCCATGAGCAACGTGCCACCGCACTCCAGCCTGAGTGACAGAGTGAGACTCTGACTCAAAAAAAAAAAAAAAAAAAGAAAGAAGGGCTGGGCTCAGTGGCTCAGTTTGTAATCCCAGCACTTTGGGAGGCTGAGGCAAGTAGATTGCCTGAGCCCGCGGGTTCAAGACCAGCCTGGGCAACTTGGTGAGACCTTGTCTCTACAAAAAAATTAAAAAAAAAAAATTAGCTGGGCGTGGTAGCCCATGCCTATAGTTCAGGCTACTTGGAAGGCTGAGGCTGAAGGATCACCAGAACCCAGCAGGTCGATGCTGAAGTGGCTATGAGTATGCCACCGCACTCCAGCCTGGGCAACAGAGTGAGACTCCAACTCAAAAAAAAAAAAAAGCACAGAGATTTGAGAAATAAATAAAGGAAGACTGACAATCTCCAAAGTTGATTGATCTGCAGTTGGAGGGAGGTAGAGAAGGATTGCATACCAGTTTGATTAGGACACCAGTGTGGTTGATAAGGACATTCCCTGAGAGAGAGGAAAGGAGAAGAATTTTTAGAATTTGCTGACAGGGAGTAGGTGAGAAATTCAGTTTGGAGCATATGGCATTTGGGGTGCAGGTATATTCAATAGACAGCAGGACATAGATGTACTTTTTTTATTCACTCAACAAATATTGATGTGCCAATCACTGCCCTAAGAGCCAAGGATACATCAGGAAACAAAGATCCTTGCTCCTGTGGAGTTTACATTAGGATGGGAGGAAATAGACAATGAACCAAAAACATGATAAATGAGTCAATTATATACCAATTTAGAAGAGAATAAAGTATGAGGTAAAGAAGAAAGTAAATTAGAGTAAAGAGGGTTGGAAGTTCTGGGTATGTGAGGGCACTTGGGGAAAGATTTGGGGAGGAATTGAGATTTGAGAGTTATAAACAAGTGGATGTAACTGGGACTAAAGGAACACGTCTGTAGAGAGGAAGACTCTAAAGACAGTAAAGAAAGAATAATTTTTAAAACATGTGGTTCCTCAGGACATAGAAGGGGATAGGATCCCAATAGAGGGATTAACCTTTCTTTAGAAGATGGTCACCTTTTATATCATAACGAGAAAGTTGTAGTAAAAGATGAGTCTGGAGCAGGTAAATCAATAGACTTATTGGTAGGGAATTCAAAAAATTCTCATGTCAAAGTTTCAATCTTTTCGACAGATTATTGAAATTATTAAAGGTTATCTATGAAGATGGAGGGTGGAAGTGGCAGAGTTAAAAATTGGAGGAGGTTTGAAATAAAAGCAGTGAACTATAAGAAGGGGGTTGACTGTGATATATGGGACAGCCAGGCAGATTTGAAGGCCCTGTTGAAGCTTCCTCTAGTGAGGCTATACTGGATTTTCCAGTCTGGGTTAAGTGTTCCCTAAACCCCATCAGAGTGCGAAATACCTTGCATAGTAATCCTGTTTACCTGTTTATATCTCCCACTACTGTGAGTAACTTGATCCTAGGAAACAGATCTGTTTTGTCATTGTCTAGAAGAATGTCTGACATACAGTGAATGTTCAATAGATATTTGTTGAAGGCACATATACATGCATGAATAATAGTTAACGATTTGATATATCTCAGTAGGGAAGAGAGATCACCGAGATAAACCTAGGTTTGTCTGGGACAGTCAAAATTCTCACCTGAAATTTTGCCACCTTGTTTTAACTCACAAAAAATTCTAGCTTGAAAAACAAATGATATGATTGCTCTAATTGGTGTATACAATTTACATGCTAAGAAGAAACTTGAAAAAGAGGTAGGATCTAATTTACCTAGTCATAATCCTGGGCAGTGAGACCTCACCTCTACAATAAATCAAAAAATCAGCCGGGCGTGGTAGCGCATGCCTGTAATTCTGGCTACTCGGAAGGCTGAGGCAGAAGGATCGCCAGAGCCCAGCAGGTCGAGGCTGCAGTGGCTGGCAGCGGCCACTGCACTCCAGTCTGGGTGACAGAGTGAGACTCCAACTCAAAAAAAAAAAAAAAAAAAAAGGGGATAAGTAAGCAGGAAATCACTAATTTTATCCCACTGAATGAATGGTTCCAAGTTGTCTTCACACAAGCTATAACAGACCTTCAAAGAGGTGTCATTAGGTTGAGAGAACTGGAACTTCAGTCTTACAATGTGAACTGAACAACTGTCCCTCCAAAACTTTGAAAAAGGTTCACACTTCTTAACTAAGAAATTCAGTAGAAAATTTGGAGCAATGAATATGATGTAAATGTAGGGAGATAAGTTGGCAGCCTTCAAAATGAATCTTACTCTTTTAGATGGCTCAGCTTCATCCAGGATAAATCCCTGCAGTCTCCACACAATAAATTAATTCTTTTCAATGTGCTCCATTGTTTCCTCTATGTTAGAGACATATTTTGATCAAAACAATTTGTATAATTTTGTTACCCACAAGAGGCAAAGGAATGGGAGACCAGATAAATCAAGGGATAATTGTTTAGAGAATAGGTAATTCAAAACAGAAAGCACAGGGCCATCAGAATACTCACAATAACCAAGATTAAAAACTCAGAATGGAACAATCAGGACTCCTCTTGTAAACATTGTATCAGCGCAGATAGTTTCCTGGCAGATTCAAACTACAGGCCAGTATTATTCTCATTATTGCCTGCGCATTAGAATCACCTAAGAAACCTTTGAAAAATAAAAGTGCTTGACCTCTCAGAAACTCTGGTTTAGTTCTCCTGCACTGGATCTGGACATCTGTATGCTTTAAAAGGCTCACAGGTAGTTCAATTGTATATCCAGGATTGAGAATTTCTGCTATGGCTATGGCTGGAAACCATCTGTTAATTGTTAATTTTCCCAAATGTCATAGAATGCCTCTCAAGAGGAAAATGGTCATTGAATTTGGTTGCATTAGTCATTCTCATTACAAGGTGGAATTTGAGGAAACTATTTGAAACATTCCTTACATGTTCTTGACAAACGTTTATTTCATTTTTCTTTCTTTTTCAGGTCATAAAACTTTTATCTGAGTTATCTTTTGCTTACAAAGTTTAAGACAGATCTTGAACTTTTGGCCTCATTCAAACTCAAGAAGAGGTCTTAAAAGAATATGTAGTCACCACCCTATGGAATGTTCCAGTAGAGAATTGTTTTTTCTTCATCTTCTTTGAAACTACATGTCTTATTCCATGCTATTAGGCACTCCACTAAAAAAATGCTTCTTATTCATTCTTTTCTAGTGTTCTTTTCTAATGTTTTCTTTTTCGTGTGTGTTATTTTGAGTAACTCACCTATTCATTCATTTATTTAGCATATATTTACTAAGAGTCTACTACATGCCAGGCATTCTAAAAAGCACTCAAGATTCTATAGCCAAAACCAGAAATACTTCTGCGTTTTAGATAATTTACAGTTTAGTGAGACAACATAAATCAAATATCATCCAAACAACTGGAAAGTTGCACTGTGATATATAGTGAAAGGCGAAGTTGACGATGTTATAAGGATACACTATGGGAAGTTTGACCTAATCCGGAAGTTTGGGGAAAGCGTCTGAAGGAAGTGACAGTTGAATGAGACCTTAAGATGAATAGGACTTAATGTAATGGGAAAGTCAGGTAACACAAGATTTGAAAAAAAAAGTAACTAATTTTAACATAATTAGGCAGAATCCATGAGGATTGTGCATATTGCATGATCTGGAAAACCCATGACTGAAAGTTATGTCAAAAATAATGTGTATGGGGTTCACAGCTCTGCTAACTTTGTGCTTTGTCTTCTATTTTTCTGACACTCAGCTACTTATCTATAGACGCAACTCTGCAGCGAGTGGAATCGCATTCCTTCTACAATCTGAGTAAAATGACGCACATGTAAGTACAAGGAAAATTGCAGTATAGACCCAAGCCACAGCCACTCCTGAGTGATAATTTGGAGCTCCAGATGGCAATGGAAGCTGGTTTCCAGATTATGGGTGAACATTGTGGTTTATGATTAAATTCTTAACTTGGTCTCACTCAGTTTGTTAATCCATCCTAGTTGCTTTTCATTTCCATGGTTGAAGTTAAAGACAACATTAAAAGTCCTGTTCTTGAACTGCTATCCATTCTATTACTACTGTGTCAGCATATTTTATTCCTGTGAATGTCAGTGAGTCAATAAATATTGACCGAGTATCTATTTGATTCTAGGGCTTGTGCAAGATTCAGCAAAACTGACAATTTTTTACTTAATTAGGAAAGAGAAGAGTTTCTTGGCAAGGTTAGAATAGTAGGGCATTTAAGAACTCTAGCTCTGGAGTTGGTCAAAGTTGGATTTGAACACTGGCTTCTTTGCCTGCTCATTGCCTAACCTTGGACAAATTGTATCATCTTTCCTAGCCTCATTTGCAAATAAGAGCAGTGTTCCAAATTCATGTTTATTATAAACATTAAATGACATAATGCATGTGAGCATTTGACACAAGGCCAGCACATCAAAACCAGACAATATGGGTAACCCCTCAGGTCTCCTCTCAGTGTGGGAGCTTTTCTGTCTTCTCAATAAATCCTGCTCTCAAAAAAAAAAAAAAAGATAATACACTTCAGAAATAATTTTTCTGTTATTTCTCTAGCACATTGCAATTTATACAAAGTCTTATATAAATAATACCATTGCATTATTTTAAGCAGCCTTGTATTTTTTAGCCATTGCTTTGCTAAGCCATGGTTTGACCATGTGACTCCTTGAACCACGGTCACCATGCTTCCTAGCCTTGGTCTCCTCTCCTACCTTGGGGAGGTGAATCTCTCCTCTAACTCTCTCTCTCTCTCTAATATACTTTCTAAATAAACTATATTTTCCAATCAAAGAAAAAAGTTAACTTTTTTGGTGAGTAAATAAAAATACTTAGTATATTCTAGTCATTATGCCAAAGCATTTTATGAATGTTACTTATTTAGCTATTATTTATTCCTCAAAGAACAACTCTGTGAAGTAGAGGTTATTATTTCAACTATTTATACAAGAAAAGCATAAACAAAGACAGGCTAAATATTTTTTCCTTGGTCACAGAGTTACTAAGGGTGAGGGCCAGAATCCTTATAATGTGAATGTCTGACTTAAACATTTTTACCCTACATACTGCTTTCAAGGATACTGAGGCCCCAAATATCACTCTTAACTCTGACAGGCTAGTATGCATCAGATTGACCATTAGTCTGAGAATAGCTAGAGGAGCTGGATTTTAAGAAATCTTTTTATGGGTATTAGAGTGTTATGAAGGCAGTAAGGATTTGATAGGCAAATCTCAAAATCATTTGGTTATTTTCTTCTTGAGGTATTTGCTGAATTATAAACAACAGCTTAAAGGATGAGGGCAGACCAGAAGTTTAAGCAGTCTCTTAGGTTTAGGAAAATAAAAATTGGAGTTATAGGGTGTGCTAAAAAGTATGGTTCTTAGTAAACACTCCAGGATTTTAGCAGAAATCCCTAAAAACACTTCATCCTGGAAGTATGGGATAACTGTAAATAGATCAGCTCCTACAAAGAATAAAGCTCAGTTTTGAATCGGCAAAAAATAACCAGGCATTAAAAAAAATAAGAGTTTATAAGAAAAAAAATCAAAAGAAGAAAACAGACAATAGAAAATAATCTTCAGGCGATTCAAGCATCAGTGTTATTAGTAACAGACTTTAAAAAACTGTGATTAATATGTTCAAAAATTTAAATGACAGGAGAGAATTTAAGAATAGAACTGGAAACTATTTAAAAGGATTAATTGTAAACTCTAGAATTTAAAAAGCCAATACGGAACAAATAAAAATCTAAGTACATGAATTTAACAATAGATTAGACAAAGCTCAAAAGAGAATTAGTATCCTGGAAGACAGGTGAGAAAAGTATACCCAACCTGAAACCTGACAAGAAAAAAAAAAGAAAGAAATATATGGCACAGTTAAAAAAAAAAAAAAGTCTAGCATAAAACAAGCATAAAACTCTGTCCTGAGTTAAGAGGTTCCATCCCAAAACCATTCCCACAAAGATGTGGGACAGGTATCTTTCATGGCTCTCAACTACACTGTGGCCTAGAGTTAGACAGTGAGCCTCTGAACTGAGAGTCATGAGCCTTGGGAGAGGGGTGTGATAGGAAAACAGATTGAATTCCTGCCTGCATTGAACATGGAGCTAGTGCAGCTTCCTACCCCCCACAGAGACATGAACACATTCCACCAGGAGCTCCCCCGCTCTCCATTGTCACTGAGTATTTGTGGGCAAGCCAAGCAGTCCAGCTCTGTCTAGCTGTGTCGCCTCCCACACATTCCCTTCTGAACAGGAAGTGCAGGACACTGGGCATTCCACTGTCCAGCACATCACCAGAAACAACAAAGAGCAACTCACAGTAAACAAAGATTAAGTACATGTACATCAGTTTTTGCCACAGCTGTCTCTTGTTCATAAGTGTCACCTACTAGCTTCACAACCCAATATAAAATCTGACAGCAAAAGTGCACAGGGCTATACAAGTGAAACCAAAGACCCTATGCTATATACTTACAGACACACCTTCAAGAAGGGTAAGAAGTCCCACTTAAATGAAAGTAAATTCAGTAATAAGAAGTGACAGCTTCCACAAATGAGAAGGAACCAGCACAAGAATTCCAGCACCATGAAGAAACAGAATGTTGTGATCCCCCTGCCACCCAAAGGACCACACTAGCTCTCTAGCAATGGATCCTAACCAAAATGAAAACTTTGAAATGACAATTAAGAATCCAAAATATGGATTTTAAGGAAGATCAATGAGATTATAAATAAAGTTGAAAAACAACACCAATGAACCAAAACAAACCAAAAAAATTCAGGAGATGAAAGATGAGAGTAAATTTTAAAACAAAATCAAACAAACAAACAAAAAACCCCAGATATTTTAGAGATAAAAAAACTCATCAAAGGAATTTCAAAATGCAGTCAAAAGCTTTAACAATAGATGAGACCAAACAAAAGAAATAATTTTAGAGCTTTAAGACTGGTCTTTTGAATTATAGTAGTCAGATAAAAATAAAAATAGAAGAATTAGTAAAAATGAACAAAGACTTCCAAATATATGGAATTATGTAAAGTGACCAAACCTTTGACTTATAGACATTTCTGAGGGAGAAGAAGAAGTAGAAGTTTAGAAAATATATTTTGAGGGAAACATTCAGGAAAATTTCACCAATTTTGCTAGAGATGCAGACATCCAGATAAAAGAAATTCAGAAAATACTTGGAAGATACTATACAAAATGAACATTACTAGGCATATTGTCACCAGACTATCTGAAGTCAATGAGAAGGAACAAATCTTTTTTTTTTTTTTAATGTTTTGAAAATGTGTAAAGGAAGGCAGTGAGCGACAGTGGGAAGAGGGAACAAGTCTTGGTTTGGATCTATACTGACTGTTATTTTAAAGATGTGGGGTGCAATTCAGGATTAGATAGATAAGTGGTTATTGCACATGTAAAGTTTGAGCGTCCCTTTGTTCCCCACCTATGCCAACTGCTCACTAGCTGTGTAACATTGAGTAAATCAGGAACAAATCTTAAAGTAGCTAGAGAGAACCATCAAATCACCTACAAAGAAAATCCCATCAGGCTAACAGCAGTCTTCTCAACAGAAATCTTACATGCCAGATAGTAACAAAAAGACAAAGAAGGACATTATATAATAATAAAGAGTTTAATACAACAAGAAGATTTAACTACTCTAAATATATACACACCTAATACCAGAGCACCCATATTCATTTAAAAAAAAAAATTACTATACCTGACTTGGTGGCTCAGTCTGTAATCCCAGCACTTTGGGTGGCCGAGGTGAGTAGATTGCCTGACCCCACAGGTTTGAGACCAGCCCAGGCAATTTGGCAAGACCTCATCTCTACAATAAATAAAAATTTAGCCAGGAGTGGTAGCATGCGCCTGTAGTTCCGGCTACTTGGAAGACTGAGGCAGAAGGATCACTGGCGCCCAGCAGGTCGACACTGAGGTAGCCATGAGTATGCCACAGCACTCCAGTCTGGGTGACAGAGTGAGACTCCAACTCAAAAAAAAAAAAAAAAAAAAACTACTATACCTAAGAAAAGAGATTGACAACAATACCATAATACTGGGGGACTTCACCCACTGACAACACTGACAAGACAGGTCCTCAAAGCAGAAAGTCAACAAAGAAACTCTGGACTTAAACTAGAGTCTAGACCAGATAGATATTTATAGAACATCTTGTCCAAGAACCACAGACTATACACTTTTCTTATCTGCATATGGAACATTCTCCATGACTGACCATATGTTTGGCCATAAATCAAATCTCTAAATACAAAACAAAAAATTATCTCAAGTATCTTCTTAAATCATGGTGGAATAAAGTTGGAAATCAATACCAAGAGAAGCTCTCAACAATACACAAGTACATGAAAATTAAACAACTACCTCCTGAACAACATTTGGGCAAACATGAAATTAGGGCAGAAATCAAAAAAAATTTGAAACAAATAAAAATAGAGATACAATATACCAAAACCTCTGTGATACAGCAAAATAATTACTAAGAGGTAAGTTTGTAGTATTAAATGCCTACATCAAAAAGATAGAAAGATGTCAAATTAACAATCCAATGTCATACCTAAACAAACTAGAAAAACAAAAGGAAACCAAATCCAAAGCAAACAGGAGAAAATAACAAAGATCAGAACAGAACTAAATGAGACTGAGACCAAAATAAATAAATAAATAAATACAAAGGATAAATGAAATGAAAAGCTAGTTCTTTGAATGGATAAACAACATTGAGGCTAGGCATGATGTCTCATGCCTGTAGTCCCAGCACTTTGAGAAGCCAAAGCAGGAGGA